CCAGATGGCTCAAACTTTGGCAGATATTCAAAGTAGGATTCTTGGGACTTTACCGGCAAATACTGAGAGAAATCCAAAGGATGCCATGGTTGTAGCAGTCACATTGAGGAGTGGGAAGGAGTTGGAGGATCCAAATAGCAAGAAAAATCCAGTAGAAAAGGAGGACAAGGCAATTGCAGAGGAAGAAAGTGCAAAAGCTGAAAAATCTGACTTGCACAGGCAAACTGCATGCAATCTGCTTGTGCATGAGCATTCTGCCTGTGCACCTCCAAAGAAGGAAGGACCAAACGGCTAGAATCAAGAGGAAGGTGTACATAAGGTCGAAGATCAACCAGGACAATGCAGACTTTTAGCGAGCAAGAGTTGAGCGATACTTGAGAGGAGAATTGTATAGCAATCTGTGAGTAAAAGTCAGCACAGAACTTGGAGAAAAGTTTTTGGGTTAGGATCAGGGTTTCTTAAGCCTGCTCGGATCACTCTCCAATTGGCCGATCGATCAGTGAAAATTCCAAAGGGAGTGGTGGAGAATGTATTGGTGAAGGTGGGGAAGTTTATTCTCCCTACATATTTTGTGATTCTAGAGATGGAAGAAGATCGGGGAGTGCCTCTCATTCTTGGGAGACCTTTTCTAGCCACTGGTGATGCACTCATCGATGTCGGGGCTCGGGAGATGCAAGTTGACATTCCGAGTAGGTAAGGAGGAGGAAATTTTTAATGTCTTTCAAGTTGATCATAATCACGATGCATTTGATGACTTTGAAAGTGGAGCTCGTGAAAAGAAAAATTCCTCTTCCTGTGATAGTGGACCATCCGAAGAACTATCACCTATCCTATCTGCTCAGATTCTGAAATCAAAGCAAGGGCAGAAATCCTTGTCAGGTCACCTCAAGTACAGATATTTGGGTAAGGATTTCAATCTTCCTGTTATTATTCCTTCTTCGCTGACATTGAAACAGGAAGAGTACTTGCTTGAGGCGCTGCAATACCACCTACGCCTCACTAAAGGATCCAACATGCAAGCTAAAAAGGTCATACCAAATTTTCGCACACCTGGCCCTGTAGAGGTGACTCATATGTTGGATGGAGGTTATGCGTTCTATCATTGCTCGGGCGGGTATTCTGGATACCTTTCCATACCCATTGGTTGAAAGCTCCATGAACGTCAGGCTGAGGACGTTAAACAAGCGCTTCTTGGGTGGCAACCCAAGGTAAGTTTTCTTTTCTTTATTCTTCTTTTTCGTTGTGTCAAACCCGTGCATGTTTAGATTAGGAGTTGAACATTAGGGACATTGTTCCATCCTGAGTGTGGGGTGGATGGTCTGTGTTCTTGTTGTGTTTTATGTTTAGGTGTCATGTCTTAGTTGTCCACAGTGTCTCGTCATATGTATATATAAAAAATCTGCCATTAGGTTGAGCACAGCCAAACTGCATGCAGTTTGCCTGTGTTGGTGCATTCTGCCTGTGCAAAGCTAATGGCTAAAAAAACACCTAAAAATCAGAAAAATTAAAAACAAAACCTCGTACTCTTGTGATAACATGATGTAAATGACCGTGATGCCTTGAAAATGAGTTTGTGCTTAAATGAAATCATCAAAATCACCCAACTAGTGTTGAATTGAATAGTTCTTCACAATGAGCTTGAATGTTTTGACTGACTTGATATGCTTTGAATGAACAAACTCTTTTAGCAACACTCTAATTTTGTGAGGATAGTGTAATGACTTTTGGTTAAGTAGTTAGGTGGAGAACATTGACCATTCGACATGTTTGGATACCGTGCTTACTTGCATTTGTTGTGAGCTTTTGACTTTGCATTGAGTCTCTCTGTTTTGAATGTTTTAAATGGGGTGAACGGTATCTTTATAAAAGAAAACACTACCTGACAAGTAAAATATAAGAAAGTTGCCATAACAATTAAAGTGTGGGTAAAATACCAAAATCGTGTGAGGCAATCACTCATTGCACATGGGGATTAGGAAAGATTCAATTGAGAATCGGTTCGTGACCGTACGATGTTGCTTATCAAGTACGATCCCCAGTTGAGTGAAGTGCCATTAGAGGATGTGCAAAGACCCTCCACACGGACCGAGGAAAAGGAGTTAAAAGAAGCCCTTATGAGAGTGCTAAGAAGCAGAAATTGCTCTTGCTCGGTCACCGGTAGTAAGAAAAAAATCCCACTTTTACTAAATACGACCACTCGGCATGCAAAATCAGAAAGAGAGAAAGCCTCTCCTTGTCATAAAAGGTAGTGATGTGCTTAAAGTTAAAATCATGTTTGCGAAAGGCTTCCCCCCATTAGTTTTTGAGACTCCTGCTTTGTTAATTGCTTATGATTGGTGTGAGTAAGCCATATTGTCCTCACAGGATATGCACCTCACTGATGTGGTTAGATTCTCCTAATAATTGTTGCACCATAAGTTGTTAATCACCCACTACCGGCGATCGGAATTGAGTGTTGCTATTTGAGTTTTTGGTGGATTTGAGTCAGTCATTGGTAATGGTTGCAAAGAGCTTGAGTGTGGGGTGAAAGGCATGATCAATAAAGCACAACTCATCCGTTGATAAAGAAACTACTGATTACAACAAGAGTACAAGAAAATTTTTGTTTTGTTTTGAGTATTGAGTGTTGAGTCTATGGTGTGTCATTGTTTTGGATGGTTATGTGTTTGTGTTGTTTGAGTCGTTGCTTAGGGACAAGCAACAGTAAGCAACCTCAAACATAATCTGCTATCGGTCAATCAACTTTGTAAGTTAGGAAACAAGGTTGTGTTTGAAACAGATTTTTGCTTCATAGAAAATAAAGTGTCTAAAGAAATTCTGCTCACCGGGAAAAGGAGAGGAAAAGTGTATGTTATAGATTTCGATAGTGAGTATCTGTCAAAAGAATTATGTCTAGTTTCAGTGAATAATAATGATCAATTCGACTGGCATAGGAAACTAGGTCATGTTCATGTAGGAGTCTTGTCCAAGTTAGAAACCCTCGATATTGTCAGAGGACTACCTAAGTTGAAAAGTAAAAAGGACTTTTTCTGTGATGCTTGTGCGAAAGGAAAACATGTTAGAGCTAGTTTCAAAAGCAATTCAGTTATATCCACTACAAGACCACTGGAGTTGCTACACCTTGATTTATTCGGTCCAACGAATGTGGTAAGTTATGGAGGTAAGAGTTATGCTTTCGTTATAGTGGATGACTATTCTTGATTCACATGGGTACTTTTCTTGGCCCATAAGGATAAAGCTTTTGTCAACTTTCGAAATTTATCCAGGAAAATTGAAAATGAGAAGCAGAGTAAAATTGTTAGTATTAGGAGTGATCACGGGGTGAATTTATCTCAGAAAGTTTTAACATTTTCTGTTTAGAGCAAGGTATTCACCACAATTTGTCTGCTCCACGAACTCCACAGCAAAATGGAGTGGTGGAAAGGAAAAATAGAACATTGATTGAAATAGCTCGCACCATGCTAAATGATTACAACTTACCAAAATATTTCTGGGCCAAGGCTATTAGTACTGCGTGCTATATCATTAATCGGGCTCTTAGTAGATCTAAAATCAAGAAGACACCATACGAAATCTGGAAAGGAAGGAAACCTAGGGAAGTTCGACTCTAAATCTGGAAAGGCTATTAGTACTTTCATCCATTTGGATGTAAATGTATTGTGTTAAACACTAAGGATAATCTAGGGAAGTTCGACTCTAAATCAGACGAGGCAGTATTTCTTGGTTATTCCAATGTTAGTAGGGCTTTCAGAGTTTTTAATAAAAGAACACTAAAAGTCGGAAAAAATCCAAAAGTACCACTGTTTAAAAAAAATTCCAAAAATACCACCCAACCCCAAAAAATTCCAAAAATACCACCTTTTTCAAAAACCACGACCTCACCCTGCGGTTTACACGAAAACCGCTGGGCGGGGGCACGTTTTTCTATGCAAACCGCTGGGCTTAGGGGCAGTTATAAAAACCGGACCAAACCGAGGTCCAATTTTTTTTGATCAACTCCTAACTTCGGCCGAAACTTCAAACGAACGTAACTTTGCACTCGGGTATCCGATCGTAGCGATTTTTTTACTTTGCAAGATCTCAAAAAGTTATTCGGATTCCAAAAAATTCGCTACGATCGGATACCCGAGTGCAAAGTTACGTTCGTTTGAAGTTTCGGCCGAAGTTAGGAGTTGATAAAAAAAAATTTGGACCAAACCGCTGGGTGGGGTGGCGGTTTGGCCCAAAACCGTCGCACCACCCAGCGGTTTGGTCCGGTTTTTATAACCGCCCCTTAGCCCAGCGTTTTGCATGGAAAACCGTGCCCCCGTCCAGCGGTGTTTGTGTAAACCGCAGGGTGGTGTGGTGGTTTTTGAAAAAGGGTGGTATTTTTGGAATTTTTTGGGATTGGGTGGTATTTTTGGAATTTTTTTTTAAACAGTGGTATTTCTGGAAAAAGTCCCTAAAAGTCGAGGAGTCAATTAATGTAATGTTTGACGACTCTGCTTGTGAGGGTGCAGAAAAATTAGACGAGGATGATGATGATTTTGGACCGAGTCATAGCAGCAGTAGTTCTGAAAGTTCCGGCAGCAGTGGAATACAATGGAATCTAAAGTACCACGCACAAGAGATGATAGTCAAAGCATGTCTAAGAGCTCAGCAGACGATGAGGAAAGAAGTATAACAGAAAATTCTGCAATCAATGATGACACAGAAGAGCATGAGCTTCACCCTCCACCTCACATCAGCAAGCGACATCCATCCTCACAAATCATAGGTAAGATGGGTGAAGGTATGGTCACTCGATCTAAGTCTCAGGAAAATCAAAATGCTTTCGTATCCTTAATAGAACCTAAGATAGTAGAAGAAGCCTTATTAGATGAATTTTGGTTGGAATCTATGCATGACGAAATGAATCAATTCGAAAGAGCTAAGGTTTGGGACCTAGTTCCAAAACCAGAAGGTGTAAATGTCATAGGTATAAAATGGATCTATAAAAATAAGTCAAATGATATAGGTCACATTATTAGAAACAAGTCTAGCCTTGTTGCTCAAGGATACTGCCAAGAAGAAGGCATTGACTTTGAAGAGTCTTTTGCACCTGTGGCACGTGTTGAAGCAATTAGAATGTTGTGCGCTTTTGCTAGTTCTAGAGGGTTTAAACTCTTCCAAATGGACTTTAAAAGCGCGTTCTTGAATGGAGATTTAAAGGAAGATGTTTATGTGGCCCAACCTCCTGGATTTGAGGATCCAAGATTCCCAAATCATGTCTACAAGCTGAACAAAGCCCTATATGGTTTGAAACAAGCTCCTAGAGCTTGGTATGAGAAACTAAGCAATGTTCTGGTTAGCAATGGCTTCTCTAGGGGTTCTATAGATAAGACTCTGTTCACTAAGTCTCAAGGGTCTAAAATGCTTCTTGTTCAAGTCTATGTTGATGACATTATCTTTGGATCCTCGGATCTAAGGCTGTGTCATGAGTTTGAAATCTTATGAAAGATTAATTTGAAATGAGTCTCATGGAGGAGTTGACATATTTCTTGGGTTTTCAAGTTCAACAGAGTTCCAAGGGAATTTTTATAAACCAGAGTAAATATCTCAGTAATATGTTAATTCGGTTTGACCTTGGAAACTTAAATCCAGCTGCCACTCCTATGGCTAGCAATGCTAAGCTTGGCAAGGATGAATCTAGCATAAGTATTAGCGAGAAGTTATATAGAGGAATGATCGGATCTTTGCTCTATCTGACTGCTAGTCGTCCAGATATCATGTTTGTTGTGTGTCTGTGCTCGGTTCCAAAGTAACCGTAAGGGAAGTCACTTAGTTGTGGTTAAACGAATTTTCCGATATTTGGCTGGTACAGTTTCCTGGGTTTTTTGTGGTATTCTAGTGATTCGAGTCTGGAACCTTTAGGCTACAGTGACTCCGATTTTGCTGGCAGCCTAACTGATAGAAAGAGTACCTCTGGAGCTTGCCATTTCCTAGGCTCGTCCATCATTTCTTGGTTTAGCAAGAAGCAGAACTCTGTCGCTCTCTCAACGGCTGAGGCTGAATATGTAGCGGCAGGATCTTGTTGCACACAATCTTCGTGGATCAAGCATCAACTTATGGACTACGGTATGAAGTTTGATGCTCTACCTGTGTTGTGCGATAATACCAGCGCTATTAACATAGCCAAAAATCCTATCCAACACTCCCAAACTAAGCATATAGACATTAGGTATCATTTTATTAGGGAACTAGCTGAAAATAACCCCATTATATTAGAATTCATTCCCACTCAATTTCAATGGGCCGACATCTTCTCTAAACCTCTGGTAGCTGATCAGTTTGCCTTAATTCGTCCAGAGCTAGGCCTAATATCCTCTGAAGATCTTTCTGGGCCCATGTAACTTGTGCGTGGCCTCATTATGGGGTTACTTGTGTGCAAGTTACTTCTCGTCCCACGATCCCTAGGCGCCTAACCTACGCACATACGCAAAGAGGGGGGCGCCTGGACCCGTTAATTCTCCGACGATCAAGTTATTCTCTGTTCTAGAGAGAGAAGCGTCTAAATCCAGTGTTTAGTGAGAGAATCCAACCCCTATAAATGCTACCTACCGACTCTATGTACTCACCCAAACCTGGATCGGGTTCTTTCAGTTCAGCTCCATGTCAGCATCGCATTTAATGTTCCGTACTTCTGTCAGACTAGGCGCCCCAACCAACATGTCAGTATTCTGACAAATGCTAGGCGCCTGGCGGGGGGTTCATGGACAACCTGTACTTCTTTGGATTCTTCCGAGTTTCGTCTCCAGGCCCTCCTCATCACTTTTGTACTCAGCCCGATGGGCCCACCAATGGGCTTGCCCATGATAAAGCCCTCTTTTTCCTCACTGGGCCGTATTCGACCTTTATTTGGTCATCTTCCTTTGTATTGCCCAGGGTTCAAGAAGGCGCGCCTAGGCGCACGCCTAGGCGCACGCCTAGGCTCAATTAGGCGCTAGGCGGTGGAGGATCGCCTTGACTTGGCCATAGGCGTTGTAAAAGGCGCTGGTAGCGCTTAGTAGGTAGGAATAGCGCTTAGTATGCGCCTAGTAGAGAGAAGGCGTGTCTGGGCGTTCCTGGGAGAGCTTGGGCGGTTAAACCCAATACTCTTCGTTTTGTCCTAGAAAATCATAAACTTGCCTCTTGCCCTAGAAAATCAGAAACACGGGAAGTAACATCTGCTGCCTCCTGCCGCCCTAGCTCGAACCCCATTTGATGCTCTCTGCCGCCGTAGGAGAAAGTCATCGATCACTCTTCTCGCCTTCACACCGCTCCACTGCTATAGTGGGAAATAAAGTCGAAACTCGTCAATTGTTGTTCCTTCTTTCTCCTCAGTACGTAGCACAAGCTTCTTGCCTCTATAAGCACCTATTAGCAGATGATTGGTCATTATTTGCTTGTTATTTGTTATGTTAAGTGTTTACTGTTAAGAACTAGGCATTGCTAATTCTATATGCACTTGGATTATATGAATTATTCCAGAAAGGGTTATAGGTATAATATACCCCTCTACTATGACGTTTTATCAAACATGCCCTTCTACTATTTCTTACATCAAACATGCCACTGTACTTTGTAAAAATGATCAAACATGCCCTTTTGTTAAAAATTTCATCCAAAAACCATTAACCAAGGCCACACTTTAGTTTGGGCGACACAAATGACTAAAATATCCATAATAAATTCACGTTAGAATTTTTTTGGTTCTTTTGTATATCAAATCATTCAAATAATTTCACTTTGAAAAGACCTAGGGAAATAAATCAGGGGACAAAACTAACATTTCCTTCCCATTTGCCGATGTCGGGTCGTCTAAATCTCAATTCAAACTATGATTGACGATTTTTTCAATGAAAACTTTAACAGAAGGACATGTTTGATTATTTTTTTCAAAGTACAGGGGTATGTTTGATGTAAAAAATAGTAGAGGGACATGCTTGATAAAATGTCATAGTAGAGGGGCATATTATACCTATAATCCTTCCAGAAAACAGGAAATATTTGAGAATTTTTCCATTTATGCTCTGAACGCCTAGGCGCGCCTAGGCTACACCTAATCGGGCAAGGCGCAAGTCAGGAGCCGAGCGCCTGCCTTACGCCTAGCGCCTTTTAGAACCTTGGTATTGCCCCCAACATAAATTTATAAAAAAATATCAAACTAGTAGAAAATACAGCAAAGCACAAGATGTTTTTTGTATTCTGAAAAAATTGTAACAATCCGTGTCTAACAATGCTCTACAAATCTCACTTGATATATCCTACTAGATAACAGGAGTGATAAATTGGATTTAATCATTAACTTTTGAAAATAATTGGGGATAAGGAATAATTTCTACTAGTATATTTGGATTTAAAATGCAGAACAAATGAGTTGTGGTCTAATGAAAAATATGTTTTCTAATAGTAGTAGCGACCAAAGTTCAAATCACATAGGTTACAAATTAAATGGTTTTTATTTACACATACGCAAACTACTACTGAGGTTTGAATAATCATTTTTCCAAATTTTAAGAGTGTCCCACTATCACTTAAATATAATTCACCCATATTCAAACTACTATCAAGGGTGTAATAACTGTATTCCCAAATTTTAGGTGTGTCCCGGACCAGTGGAGGACCAATAAATTTTACATAGGGGTGTCCTCTTTTAAAAAAATAAATTAAATTAAATAATTCTTAAATAAGAAAATACCTTACTCATACAACTTTAAAAAATCCATGATGTGTTTTCATATTCGGAAATAATTGTAGAATACACTTGGTGTCTACAGTGCTCGAAAAAATTGTCTCTATCATACTAGACAATCATTCGCGAACTTAGCACATATTCGATTTCTAAACTTGTTCTTGATGTAATCCAAAGTTGAAATGACTCTTTTAACACTTGTCATACAACCATAAAATCAATACAAATTAAGGGTAGCTTGAAATTTATTTAATCGTTAAGTTTTAAAAATAATTAGAAATAGGGAATGACATTCTACTATTATACAGTGTTTAAATCGAACAACATATGGGTTGTAGCCTAATGGAAATTATGTTTATTAATAATAATAGTGTCCTATCGTTGAATTACCCAAACTACCACTTATATTCTCATACGCAAACCAAAAGATGAGAGTAGGATAATCATTTTTTTCAAATTTTAGGGGTGTCCCCGATTAACAATTATAATGTTTTTGTCCATTCATAAATTTCCACCGGAGGTTGTATAATCGTTTTCCCAAAATTTCGGGACACCCCTAAACACACGTGGGTCCGCCACTGTCCTGAACACCCTCAAAATGTCATGTATCCGCCCCTGGAGGCTTGCTTCGTACACCACACAACTCCAAGCAGTCCTACCATCAGCAACATTCAAAATAAAACCATAGAAATCAAAGGCATTATGGTACGGCGGCTGATTCGGTGCATCACGTGGAAGACCCTTGGTTGATCGCCGCAAGAAAACTACCCACAGGCAGCGTCAAGATCCTGAAGCGCGGAGAAGAGCTACTACTACAGATGACATCCGTCATGGTGAAGGAAGAGAAATTCGCAGAGGAGAAGGTAGAAGGGGAGACAAGGAAGCAAGGTGAGGAGTTGTACGTTGGAGCTATGTCGTTCTTGGCTTCACCACCTCCTAGTGCTTTACCGGTGCCGAGATTCTTGAGTAGCTGGATTGTGTGGATTAGAAGCCTGCTGCATACGCCAATCATACTCTTGATTCTGACTTGGTAATTTGGGATCCCGAGTGCTTCTAGATGTTGAGATTTGAAAGGTGTGAATGAAAATGAAAGTGGAAGAAGTCAATAGTTGGTGAATTATCGGTTAAACCAAGTTAAAGTGAATCGGACCGAACCAATTACCGATGTGGCTGTTGGAATGAACCAACCGGTCCGACAATTATGGCGAACCAATGTGATGGTTAGGCATTTTTTATGTGAACCATTGCAATAGTTGGGGGTGTAACCACCCAGTTGAAGGGTCACATCCCTTCACTCACACCCCTTCATTGTCTATAAATAAACACATACCCCTCTGTTTTCAACGAAAATGTTTACCCAATTGATTTTTCTCGCCAAAAGAAAGAAAAAGAATCTTTATTCTTCATTGCATTTCCTCTCTACAAACACATAAAGAAAGTACAGAGTAGTGTGACTTCTCTCTGATAGTTGCGTTCGTCGGTTTCTGGAGTTTCTAGTATCAGTACGCCATAAAAGGTACGTCCATTCTATCATGAGAGAAATATTTTCAATAACCATGGGTAACGTAGAGGGGAACTAAATTCTTTAAGGAAAAAAGTGAATTCTATTGGCTCGAGCGCTTTGTTTATGCATTTGTTGATTTCTAAATATGACTTGTGTGGCAAAAAACATACTTTTTGTGAAACTTTTCCATAACAATCTTACAGACCGTTTGGTACCAAATGAATCTAGAATTCATTTCGTTATAAAAGGAATTCCTGTGTAGAATTCATTGTCAAATGAATTCCTGTGTTTGGTATATGTTATTAGCGTTACAATCAAATTCTTGTCGACGTTCCTGATACTGCATGAATTGGCACCAAATCATATATGTAGAAGTAATTTTGTTAATAAATGAGAATGATTATGTCATTTTATCATAATTGGTAAATACTTGTGGAATTCATTTGAAATCGGAATTGCTATATCTAGTTCCAATTCCGTATAATTCAAAATTTAGAATTGAAAATGAATTCTTTTAAATACCAAATACAAAAAGATTTCATTTAAAAAATTCCTAAAAACTTATAGAATTCATTTATACCAAACGGTATGTTAAGAAATTTAGCTTTTTGTTTTCATTCACATGTATCATTTCTTCCCAAAGTTGACTTATACGGATTTGTTGTTTGATCATATCTGTTGTTTGCATATAGGAAATTGGGCTATAGACATGCTCGATATGTTCTATTTCTCGTAGTGGTCATGCATGTATAGGGTTTTGGTTGTATTGCGTAATCTTATCTTATCTTACAATATATTAAAGGGGTTTGGAAAAACCACCCCTTCCACGTAAACCTGGAAGGCTTCTCCGCACTTCTAAGCATTTAGGGGTTTTTTTTAATTTTTTTTGTTTATTTCACCATTCCTGGCTTCCGTTGCCTTCTCATCTCCCCCCCCCCCCCCCCCCCCCCCCCCCCCGATTTTGTTATTTCTTTTAGTTTGTGGGCTTTTAAATTTAACCCTAAGCCACATAATCAATACTGAAAACTAAAACTCTCCACGTCGGGCACTCTTCTCTTCTTCCGCTATCTCCTACTCTAGCGTTATATGTTCTTTCTCCTTTGGAAAAATCCCAATATCCCCGCAGAGAAAACTTCCCTTTCTATTCTTCCATCCTTATAGTATCATCCTATATCCCATCCCTGTCAGTGGTTTTGGCGGAGGCGTTCGAAATCATTCACCATCTCCATCACCCGACGGTTGGCGGAACAACAACGGTGTGCCTCCAACCTTCAATTTCGCTATGAGTGGTTTATTCAATGGCTCTCGAAATTATTCACCGTCGAGGCCGCGGTTGGCAGAACAACAACTGAAACACCCTAACCCGGTCGGGTTCTACTTTTACTAAAATACCCTCAATAAACCGCGAAATAAAATAGAACTGAGAATACTGCGAAAAATAGCGGATAATAAATACCGAAAACAACTAGGGTTGGCATTTCGGTTATTTCGGTTATAACCGATAACCGATCGGCCGGTTATCGGTTAACCGAAATAACCACTCCCCCTACCGAAAACCGCCCGAAATAGGCTTTGGTTTCTCGGTTATCTCGGTTATCGGTTAACCGACCCATTTTTAAGACCAAAAATCATTTCGTCTAGCCTCCGATAACCGACCGAAGTTCGGTTACTTCGGTTACCGGTTATCGGTTTAACCGGCCGGTTAACCGGTAACCGAACTGCCACCCCTAAAAACAACTGTCATTACTTAAAACACAAAGCTTGACACTTGGGCAAACTCAAACTTTAAAATCTCAAAATGATCTCCAGCCTATACTCATAATCATAAACTGAAACAACTAAAAAGTCTCTAATGCTACTGCTTCCTTAAAGCCTTGACCAGACATCCTCAGTGGCGCTTGTACTTCCCTCCTCTAGCTGGCTGTCCTCAAACTGCTCCTCTCAAACTCGCTGCTCTCTAACTCCTCTTCTAGCTAGCTGCTACTGAACTGGTTCTCGCTCATTCCCTTACTAAGGCCTGGTGAGTGAGTTGGGGTCAGTCTACGCCCTTACGTTTTGAACTTTCTACTAATTTTGCACTTTTTCTCAAACACTTAAACTCAAACAGAGGGAAGTTGTTTGTACTTCCAAACTTAAAATCTTAACTCTTAAACTTTGAGGGAGTTGCAGTTACTCTCATCTCTTAAAGCTCAAATCTTGACTTAAAAACTTGACTGACACGGGGATCTCTCACTAGCTAGTCCGGTTGCCCAACTCATACGTATGAGAAGCCACTCAGGCTTTCCTTAAACTTAAACTTAGTTAGGGATTTCGTAGCGATTCATCCCCCGAACATCTTAAACTTATCGTGGTGGCTCTTCACCACGATTCTCAAGGGCATAACTGCTGCCCATCTTAAAAGTCTCAAGAGCATAACTGCTGCTCTGTCTCAAAGATCTCAAGAGCATAACTGCTGCTCTATCTAATAATCTCAAATGGCAACGGACTGGCGCTAGTGACTAAAAACACTTAAAACGACTTCACCTTCTTGAAGGTGAGTTACTTCTTCAAAACAACTGGTTCCTTAAACTTTAACAATGACTCATAAACTTAAAGCTTAAATTGAAATAAGAACTCATGCGCATTCACATCAAGCATAGCTCAAACAAAATCTCATATCATCAATCATAAGCACAATCAAACAACGACATTAACTTCATCAAAATACTCAAGACTTGAAACTCTTGAAAGAACACGCAAGGCGTAGAATTTACCCCCTTTACACTCACCTTATTCTCCATTGTTGCTTCTCATAGTAATTCGATATCCTTCATATGATATTAAATTCCCTCTTCCTTCTCCAGTATGACCAGCTCCATGCACAAAAGTTCAAATTAGTGGTGAAATTCGTGAACTACATGTGGCTAAACCATGCACCACTCTACTTCACTACTTGATTTCACGTCTCCCTAATTCCATGATCACTAATCAATAAACTTCATCACCAAACCATATATATACACACGTCTTCCACTGTGCCATGCATGATTCCTTAATCTTTGAAACAACCTAATATATATCCAAGAATCCCTGCTGCTCAAAAATACTTTATCAAACCCACGTACTAAAGTATCCTAAAATTAATTGCCCAAGAGTGATTCGTAATAACCAGAGCAGAATCAATATTTATTCATACTCCCACATATGCGCATGAATAACGAATCCGTACCTTCACCTGAGCAGCAATCCTTGTTCGATTTCCTCTTCTCGGTTTGGGCTTTCACTCTCGTCTCCATTCAGGTACAACTATTTGGATGGTGCTGATGACGAGGGGAAAAGGATTGGCGGCGGTTGGTGATATTTGCCCCCTGCTCTCGCAAAACTGCTGCTGCTCCCTCTCCGTTCGTGGGTCTCGGAAATAATTAGGGTGGGGGGTTTAATGTGGTATGTGGACATGGGAATTTATACGGGCCTCTCCGCCTTTTGTCCCATTAGTAATAATAATTATTATTATATATATTAATAATAGTTATTATTATTCCTATTCCCCTGTTGCAACTCTTCGTACGTAACCGTTAATCCAACCGTTCAAGTATTTGGGTCGAACCTGAACCCAAAATTCGAGGTGTTACATTTCCTCCACCCTTATAAAAAAATTTGTCCCCGAAATTTGCTTGGAACTCATTGCTCATTCTACACCATCTTTGTACTCCCTTGCCTCAAGAATTTACTCTAGCTAAATGTACTTCGATGATGTCCGTTGCTTGTACGATGTTCGTCGCTTGTCCCGTATGATTTACCTCACTTCTTATATTTCCTCTTGACCATAGAGGGGATTCTCACCAAGCTCGTTAGCATCGGCCAGCTTTGGGAGGCTACTTATCCTTTTTAATTCCCCACTTGGGCATAAGGCGTGACAGGACAATACATCGAGTCAATTTATTGGTCCAGCCCATTCCGTACTTGTTTTTGAACCTTAGATCGAATTCAAGGTGTCACATTTCCTCCCTCCTTAAGAAAAATTTCGACCTCGAAATTTGTTCATTGCTGATAACCTAAAGTCTCACTTGAGGTAATCCTTCTGCTGCAAGGACTTATACTTCCCTTACCTTATACAACCTGGAGCTATAAACCCTTTCCTCCAATTTGTGTTCTTCTTGGCCAACTAATTACTCGCCCACTTTTCATAAATCTCTTGCTCAAGCTAGTTACTTGCTCAATGCGTCTATGGCACTCTCCCTTCTTAAATGCCTCTGACGCTGTAATGGCTTCCTAGCTCATATTGTTCTCAACTATTTGTCTTGGGTCTCTACTTAGGATTCCTTAAGAACTTAAAGGAAATAAATTATTAGCCAGCCCTATTCAAGTCATGACTCGTTGTAACTTCAGCTCATACCAGGCCCAGACCTTGAACTTTGTCCTCCCTATCTTGACTACTGACAACTCTCCTTGGTATAGAATGTTTGACCTGCTTAATGATTAACTCCGATGCTGATTCCTAGGTATCGCTTCTTCTCCCTTTATAGACATCGTTATTCTCCTCTTTGATAATTCCACTAGATACG